CACAACACTGACAAATGAATAGGAAGCCCTTTACCGTTAGTGTGATCGAAAACCGGGTCAGCCGACTTCCTTATTACAGATCAAATAATCAGACATGTGTATGATATTCAGTAACCTTCACCCTATTCTCGTGGAATCTGCTTCGTTCCCGGAGATTATGACGAGTAAAAGCTCGCTAGCCATGAAGTGGATATTTGTGTGGTATCGGTTTACACGCAATAGACTTAAGTCAGCCATAAATATTTCGGATAGTTGTTAGATGAAAGAGCGTTAAAACACCAATGCCCGAGCATATATATTTTTGTGTTGAAATATAGCTGGACATGTGTTTGTGAATATGTTGTTTGACAGCCCTGTCAGTCATACGATGGCTGGTCAAAAGGTTCTAAGCCTAACAAACAAAATCAACAGTCGTTAATTGTATTTTTAATATAACCTCCATGCTTTCCAATACACTTCTCATATTGATAGAGAAGCTTTTCAATTCCAGTCTTTCAGTTTAGGAAACAGGTGGTAATCCCTTGGTGCCAGGTCTTGCGAGGGTGAGGAAGCTCTTCGAACCCACATTGTCGCACAGCAGCCTTTGTAAGTCGAGGTGTGTGATAAGAGGCATTATCATGAAATAGTAGGACAACAACAGTCAGCATTCCTCGCCGCGTTTCTTTGATGAATATATCAGGCAATGAAGTAATTCAGCATAGTAGGCACCAGTAATCGTCTTTTGATCAACAATGATCACACCCTTAGAGGCCATAATTTTCTTTACTGAAGACTTGAATTTCTTTGGTGCCGGAGAAGTAGATGGATTGACGTTTTAACTCGGGACCATAATGGTAGGCCAATGTTTCATCACCCGTTACTAATCCCTTTTTTGATTTTGACGAAATCCTCCCCAGTTAGTGCTAAATGTTCTCTGGCAAATCAGAAATTAGAAACTTTGGCACCCAACGACCAGATATCTTATTCATCTGTAAATGTTCATGAATAACAGCTTCAATGGATCCATGGCTGAGACCTGTGTCTTCCTCAAGTTTTTACCAGCAATGGTAATTCGTCTATATGACAGTAAAGGGTTTTCTATCGTCTTGATTAAATCTTCATTGAAGGAAGAAGGAAGCTGAGGGACGTCCAGACCTAGGGTCATCATCAAGGCTCGCTCTCCAGCCTAAAACATAGCTGCCCAAGGTTTAACAGCGAAATAGCTATCCCCATACACTTGTGACATGCGGTCATGCATTTCTTGGGGAGTACTTTTCTCTGAAGTCAAAAACCTGATGACTGCTCAGTACTTGTTCTTTCTGTGTCCATTTGGATCCCTATTACGTTCTTTTTCTGTTGCATATAGATTACGAATGTCGATGATATAGCAGCCTACTTGAAGCCATACCTTTTTAGACTTGTCGCCCGCTATAAGTTTGCTATAGCTTTAAGAGAACGCCATCTGTGACGACTAGATCACAGAGACGTTGCGCCTACAAGTGGGAACTGTCCAAATTGTGCTCGGCTCGCCGAAAATCAGGGTGAGATGACGCGTGTGTGTGGAAACATGTTGGTGAGAGTAGGTTCCTATACTTAGAGACTTGCTCTGATGTATCTGCTAATTAGAAAATTCAATTATCATGAAAAAATGTTAAGCACACCCCTATTTCTGAACCATGGTAAAAATCATGGCATGGGATGATTGACCACAGGAGCTGGGTGATACCAATGTCATCGGATAGAACAAACGTTTGACAACAAATAAAGAAGATATTAGTGAGTTGTGACTGAAATTTACCAGCAAATGCACCATGGTAACACAGGTACTGTTTTTGACCTTAGACAATACCTAATCAAAGTATGGAGCTGCAGGATTAAGTAAACGAGTTACGTTTGATGTTTCATGTGAAAATGTTCCTTAAAGTCACTACCTGACATGACACGTGAAACAGATCAGTAACGGTTATAACCGCCACGTGTCCGGATGACGCATTTCATCCTTCGTCTCATGCCTCCAGTCAGACGTTGGATCTGGTGATGGGTCAACAACAACCACTCCTAATGCAGTGCTGCTTCCAATTGGCGTAAATCTTGTACAGTAGGATCCCGTGCCTGTATGCGCCGCCCCGTTCAAGGGGGTTCAAATCTGGGCTCATTGCTGGCCAGGGTGGACTCGTTATTGCATTGACCCTCATGTAATCCACGATTGCATGCGAACGATGAGGCCTGGCATTGTCATCCATGTACTGAGGTCGAGTAGCAAGAGGGTGGTTGTCAAAGTTGCTCCTTACGGTGACCAAATCCAACCTACAATCATGAGCGATACACCCCAAACCATTACCGATCCCCGCCGTATGCAACAGTCGGTTTAATGTTCCTGGGGGTGTAGGCCGTGTTCCGGTGCCTCCAAACTCTCGTTCTTCAATCAGTGACGCGGAGCAGAAAGTGACTTTCGTCTGACCAATGGATCCGTCTCCAAGTTCTCAGATTCCAGTTCTGTCGCGCAATACACCATGCTAAACGAGCAGCTTTGTGGTGATCTCTCAACAAGGGACGCTTTATGACTCGTCTAGCCCTCAGTCCTGCTGCTTTCAGCCGGTTCCTGACATGACGGTTATGGTGCTGACACGACGATTGGGCAACCACAGCTGTTTCAGACGAGTACTTGTTAAAAAGTTTAAGGGTTCTCGGCGTATAAGACGAAGAAGGTCCCTGTCTTCGCGATGTGTCGTCACATGAGGTCTTCCGGATCTGGGACGGTCCTGTACATCACCGGTCTGAGCATGTTTCTCGTCTTATCGGCTCACGACAGTGTGATGAAACCCCAAATTCCGTCCGATGGCATTACAAGACATTCCTGCGTTATGCATGCGGATTATTTGCCATCTTGTGGCGTTTGATAATCGCCTTCGTGCCATGGTCACACAATGTCATGGAATAAATGTTTAAAACCGACCTTGCGAAAGCAAGTTTAACGTTTGGATATACTGCTTTTAGAGATACTCGAGGGTAGCATGCTGCACGGGCATACCATGCGTGGCACGTGAGCTTTCGTAACGCATGACTGATTACATCTTCTCGAGGAAACATTATTCTTCCTTTAATGATATCTTTCATGATTGTTACAAATGGTGTGCATAACTTTTTTCTTCGTGTATTTTTCCACGACACATTCCGGCAGCGAATCAATTATTCTCGTTCCTAATTAGAATGAGCACATTCTGAATCTAAATCTGCAAGATGACAGGCAAAATCCTTCTTTGTACAATGCAAACGATACAAAAGTAGCGGCTGATAAAAGAGACAATGATTGAATAATCTATATGTCGATACGCAGAAAATTGTCAAACATTCTGCGCGGTCGCCGCTTAGCCACGTAAACGTTTTACAAAAAGAACGTTTTTAAAGTAAAATACTTTTGCGCTGTAGTGTACATGGTGTGACCCTCTACAAAACGTTTACGCCATATGTGTTGATTTACAAGGCTGGTGATAATGCAAACTACATAAGATAAAAAACCATTTAGTACACCCTTAAACCATAAAGTTTCGACACTGACTAGGTGATTTCGACTGTAGCACGAGTAACTTATCAATGAATTACAATCAGGTCATCACTATGGAGTAACCATTCATGGACCTGGAATTCAATATCAAACATATCTTTGATACCTTTTATCTTAAATGATTTCTCAACCACAAGTATGTAAGTATGGAGAATATCACATTGCGTCCTTTGGTATCAAATATATGAACGCAAGTTGATTTCCGGCAGTTTGCTCTCAAATTTATGATGCTGTTTCTTAGTGTTTAGTGGGCGGTCGGGTAGCCTAGTTGTTAAAGCGTTCGCTCGTCACGCCGAAGACCCGGGTTCGATTCCCGACCTGGTTCCAATGTGTGAAGCCCATTTCTGGTGTTCCCCGCCGTGATATTGTTTGGATATTGCTAAAATGGGGGTAAAACCATACTCACTCACTCATTCTTAGTTTTCAGTTACGTTCTCATTGTTTTCTGTTGCCGATTCCTATTGTATTGTAGACATATCACTGTTTTTTTGTTGCAGTCTTGTCAGTTTTCAATGGTAGGCCTGTCCATTGTTGCAACAACAGTTAAACAGCCGTTACGTGCCTGCATATCGGGTTCCGTTTCGCCGCGGTTATGCAAATCCGTTACCCACACATATAGGAGGGAACTGGCGTTTGAAGGCGGAACCGTATTAAGCTGATATACAGTTACTGCATGTTTTCCCGAAGAAAGGTTTATATGGAGTATAAGACCGAATATAGAAGCAATCAGTTGCATTCCAACAAACAAACAAAACATGGATTCCGCGAAATCCAAGTGGAGAATCCCCAAATCCCGGGGAGAGTCCTCCTACGGAACAGTGAAAGGGACATAGTACAAATGATTAAGATTTAGATATGCGTGAGGGAAGAGTTGAGTACGAAAATAATTGAGCTTCAAAATCATTCCTGGTTTTTAATGTTATTTTGAATGGATGAGACACAGATTAGAATACTGTTATGTTAGCAGTGAATGTATTTTACATGGAAGAAAGGGATGATATTAAAAATGCTCGATATGTACCAGACAATCCAGTGATTAATATAATAAGCATCGATACATGCAATGAGCCTGACCACCCGATCCCGTTAGTCGAACCAGACAGTATATGCTGATTCCTGCTTGACAACGGTATAAGAAGTTAAATCAAAACCTGATTTAATTGATATGATTGCTATGATAGACAGCAATAAAAAAAATTGGTGGACCGAGAGGTTACATGCATTGGTAGATGTTTTAAACACTTCAAGGCTTGCGCTTTTATTTGGGACCAAATGTTTATTTTGTCAGTGCTTTTTGTTGGTTTATCGTTGTACATGTCGGGGTATTGGGTATGTTAAGATGATAAGACGTAGGCCACATATTACCGACTGAATATTTTCACAATCATGTCCCTTTCGCGGTTCCGTACATCCGGGCTAGTATGCCCTCTCAGTATAAATAAAACGCGCGCACAGGCCTACGACCAGCCATTTTTAGAAGGTGAACACAGACGTAAGACCTTGAGGATGAGTAATTGTAAGTATATTTCAATTAACACCTTACACTTAAACCTTATTGATAAGCCACAACTTGACCGGGTATGGATAACTGGTTTTTTAAAGTTTTTCTAGTAAAAAGAACAATTTGTTTTCAAAGGATAATTCTTCCTTAATCTAATCAACCCAATTACGATACATACGAAAGGTGATTGATAAGTTCTGAACCTCACAAATAAAAGATTTGACCTAAAGACATTAAAATGATATATTTTTCAGCACAATCCTTTTCTCCATTGAAACAATTTAGCCAGCGATGTTGGAGAAAGTTTTTCCGAGTTTCGTCACACGGTATCATCACTATTTGATAGTGATTCATAAATATATGCTTATGATATAATCGGAATCGTACAATGGACTCTGCTTTTAGTACAGATTTCTCAAGATAATGGAAATGCTTTTTGGAAGGCCTTGTGTGAAGCTGAGATTTTCTTTCTTTTTTTCCCTCCGGGAAGATAATCTATAAATATTAGCGATAGTTTGTTTGTTTATTGTTTAACGCCGCACTCAATAATATTCCAGCTGTATGACGGCGCTCTGTACATAATCGAGCCTGGACCAGACAATCCAGTGATTGATATCATGAGCATCGATCCACGTAATTTGGATCGATGACATGCATCAACCAAGTCAGTGAGCCTGACCACCCGATCCCGTTAGTCGCCTCTTTCGACAAGCATACTCATTATCTGAAATACTTATATTCAAGTAGGCACAATGATAGGATTACGATATGCCTTTGATATTCAATACACTCTTCAGGGATCTTCTCCTATATTTCAGCCAAATCTCTAGAAGAAACTACAGAAGAATGCAGAAAACTACAACTAAACGCTGCAGAAAAACTGCGACAAATTGCAAACTTGTTGAGGGAGAAACAGAAGGAAATGAATATTGCCAAAGTATCTTTTAACAGCGCTGGAGTCGTTGCAGGTGGACTTTCCATTGCTGGGTTAGTACTGGCGCCGTTCACAGGTGGCATTTCGATTGGCCTGCTTGCGGTTGGAGGAGGACTTGGAGTAGCAGCCGGAGCAGGAGGGATCGGAACCAACGTGGCCGAGTGGAAGGTGGTTGGCAGTAAGGTTGAAGAAGCGGAGGCCGTTCTTGCTGATCTAACGGAAAATTTAGATACTATGATTGAGAAGATGAAGGTTGAACTCAAGAAGCAAGGACTCACTGACAACGACATTGCTAGCATGTTCGTTTTGGAAGGTGGAAAATGGGTTTACAATGTCGCTCGCCTAGGGAAGATCATTCGCAAAGCAGTTGCTATTGCACGGGCAGGTAGCAAGGCTGGAACACTGGCAATTTCTGCTGGTGGCAAAGCCGGTGCAAAAGCAGGTGCCAAAGCTGCAGCCGGGACTTTCGGTAAGGTCTCAAAAGTAGCTGGTGCCGTTGGAGCGGTAGTAGGCATTGGCTTCAGTGTTGCAGAAATTGTTAACGACAGCATTAACATACACAAAAATGTGAGCAAGGCTGCAGATGCTATGGAGGAGATTGCTGCTTCTCTGGAGGACATCTAAATGTCAAACGAAGGGGTCATACTGTTACGCACCAATTAATACGGCTTTCTTATTGATACAATTCACTTTCAATGTACTGCGATCAGCTGCTTCAAGAACTAACTTCTAGGGATCGCTGATGGACTATATATATATATACACATATATGTTGAAATATCTGACCTTCTTTGCACTTTTGCTATGTTGTCGGACCGCCTCCGTGGTCTAGTGATAGAACGTCCGCCCTGAGAGCGGAAGGTCCGGGGTTCTATCCCCGGCCGCGTCATACCAAAAGACGTTAAAAGAAGGTATTTGTTGTTACCCTGTCTGGCGCTCGGCATTAAGGGGCTAAAACAAGGAAAGGTCGGCTCGGAGTCAGTATACTGTGTCTGAGTGGGGTATTCATGTTTAACTGCGGCATGGTATCTCAGTGAGCTAGCACTATAAATCGGCATCAGTCCGGACTAGTACAACCACACAAACACACACACGTACATGCACGTCGCTACATAAGTGCAATAATCTTTGACGCGACGTTAAACCCCATTTCACCTCACCTCACCTCACCTCACCTCACCTCACCTCACCTCACCTTTGTTGTCGCTTGTATATCTATTGTAATAAACTAGTTTTTATTTCAACATGATCACTGTCATTTTTGGGCTCAAATTAACTTTATGGCCCGGCGTTCATCGTCCGGGTGTCTTCTCCACACGTTTCTCCTGCTACACCCCCTGATGTAAATTACTGCAAACTGCAAAATACTAACAAGTAAGTCAAATCAAGTATCTTCTCCAAGTAAAACACAATCCTGGGAAGCTAGGCCTTAATGAGAACATGAATGTCCATAATGTATTTCGTATTCGTTCAAGGCGTTGATTTGTTATAAGTAAAAGATATTAGGATAAATCATTAGATCCAGAGAGTTGGAAATGTTGTAGAATTCGTATCACTGCAATTAGACGAATACTGACAATTCAATTTCTTTCCAAAGTATTCTGCAGGCTCGCTGACACTTGGTTGAATCATGTCATCGATCCCAATTGCGTGGATCGATGCTCATGATTTAATCACTGGATTGACATATACGTCATATAGCTAGAATATTGCTGAGTGCGGCATAAAACAACGAACCAACCAAAGTATTCTGTCAAACAAACCATCAAGGACTAAACATTTACCAAAGTAAACCAAATCTGAAAATGTATTATTGGAATGGAAGTAATTCGAATACTGGAAATATTAGCGGTCTGTTCATTTTATAACCGACGTTTGAACTGGCCGTCCATTCAATTTGTTTCCAAGGGTGGAGTGCTTCACTGGGTTGTTTCCATTGGGTGGTATTACAGGGGGTAACTGGAGTGAACCTCTCCGTGCTAAGGATTGCTTTCTTGCGCCCGCCTTATCACGAAAAGCTGGACTCCAGAAGTCATATCAAGAATAACTCAACGATCAAACGTCGGTCGATATCATCGGAGTGAGGGAGTAATCTGGGATTTATCACCGCTTTGAACATCATGTTTGTTATATCACGGCGTGTCAGCTGAAGTTTGGGACTAAAGCATGAAGTGGTGCAGGTGTTATACTCGCTTTCCACTTTGGTAAATTGTTGACAAAATAAGTTTCATGACCAGGTGTATTTGAGATTCGAACGTACGATCATCGGAATCTGGACTGCCAAAGGGACGTAACTCTGTGAAACTAAATGTACCACTTTTACGACTGAGTTGACAGAATCGTTACGATTCTGTGACCAAGTCGTAATTATATAAATGTGTTGGTCATCTGAAAGCCACAGCAAGTGGTTATCAACTGAACACATTTGTGTGGGGCGGTCGGGTAGCCTTGTGGTTAAAGCGTTCGCTCGTCACGCCGAAGACCCGTGTTCGATTCCCGACATGGGTACAATGTGTGAAGCCCATTTCTGGTTTACCCGCCGTGATATTTCTTGAATATTGCTAAAAGCGGCGTAAAACCAAACTCACTCACTCACACTGAATTTGTGTAAATAATCGAGTCTGAACCAGACAGTCCAGCGACTGGCATCATGAGCATCGATCTACGCAATTGGGATACGGTGACATGCATAACCCAAGTCAGCGAGTCTGACCACCCGATCTCGTTTGTCGCCTCTTACGACAAGCACAGTCGCCTTTTGCGGCAGGCATGGGTTGCTGAAGACCTATTTTACCCCGGATCTTCACGGGTCCAGTGTATTCTGAAGTTCATGGGTAAGCAGAATTAAATAGTATTTATTAAAGTACGGGATTTCTAACTTACACTATATGAATTTGTATAATATAATGGAAACTGAAATATATATGTTTTTCAGTTTTTCCTCATGCAGGATACCATTTTAGCCAAACTGAAAATAAACCCACGAGATGTTGGTTGGTTGGTTGGTTGGTTGGTTGGTTTGTTGTTTAACGCCGCACTCAGCAATATTCCGGCTATATGACGGCGGTCTGTAAATAATCGAGTCTGGACCAAACAATCCAGTGATTGATATCATGAGCATCGATCCACGCAATTGAGATCGATGACCCACGAGATGTAATGTCAAACACGCCAATACTAGAGTGTTATTACAGCTGCCGCTAAACAGATCTGAGGACATCCCATTGCGGGTCTCGTCAGAACGACCTTTCGCGAACTTTGACCGACCACGGAAATTACTAACCAGAAATGGACATCAGCCAATTAGAAAGCAGCTTTCTCGAGCTTTGCGGCACACTGGCGACTTCCATTTCAGACTACACTTGAAAAATATCTTGACACAGTTCTCGATTAAAAATTTAACAAACGAACATTCGGGAATGTCTAAGATATCGTTGAGATTGTATGGCAGTGCTTCCCACGTACTGTGCAACCTCTCTTCCTTTAAAATGTTTCTCCCATGGAAGCGAGATAGAGACGATGATTTTGACGGTATCAGTCGTACGGGCCGTAACTGTCGTTCGGAATACCCCGTGTCAGAAAACACATTCCGACGGTCACTTTCATGATCTGGTAAGCGACGCTTTGATTGGTCGGATGAAAGGTCTTTCTGACGTGACCCATAATAGGGTGTCCTCAGATCTTTGTTTAGCAATAGCGAGAACTAAGATCTGATTTTAATGAGATTGTTGTGACGTGTTTCCATTATTCAATTGAAGTAAGTTTGTTTTCATCATTCTGGCATCAAAAGATAACTAAAGTTAACTGAAGCGATCGTGAAATCACTACGTATTATGCTTCACGTCAACTCGGTCCGATTTTGTCCCGCCTGAGACAAACGATGTCACAACCTGAGAATGGTCTCGTCACTGCGATCAATAACCGGACCAACAGGACGTCTCCACCCTGAGAGGAGGGTGGGAGGAGGCCCCCAGCAACCCAAGCTGGTCGTACTATGCGAGCTGACCAAATGGATCGGGTGGTCAGACACGGCGTCTTGGTTGATTGCGTGTCCCCGTACCTCGACGTAGTGGATCGTTGCTCACAACATTGATCACCGGTTTGTCTGGTCCAGATTCGATTACACAGATCGCCGCCATAAACGTGGAGTATTGCTGAGTGTGGATGTAAACGGCGAACAGAATACACCATGCTTCCTAGAAATATGAAGGCTAGTGTCCTCGGACATAATACTGCATATTGTCAAATCAAGAATCTGGTAAAGGCAATGTGCACATGCCTCAGGCAACACAGACATACCTCCTTCAATTGTGAGTGAACAAGAGACATAACCCCTTAACTGTAAGTGAGGGAGTGAGTTTTGTTTCTTGTTTAACGCCACATTCCAGGTAATTGACAGTTGTCTGTAAATATTAGATTCTAAAACATGACAATCTAGTGATTGACATCATGAGCATCGAGCTACGCCATTGGGGTACGATGACATACATCAGCCAAGTCAGCGAGCCTGAATACCCGATCCTGTTAGTTGCCTCTTACGACAAGCATAGTCGACTTTTGCGGCAAGCATGGGTTGCTGAAGATGAAGTACAGCCGGATTGAGTGAGTGAGTGAGCATGACTTTACGCCTCTTTCAGCAATATTTCAGCAATATCACTACGGGGAACACCAGAAATTGGCTTCACATATTGTACCCATGTGGGGAATCTAACCCGGGTCTTGGGCATGACGAGCGAAAGCTTTAACCTCACCGCCCGTTATGTAAGAGGAAAACCCAAAGTGACGGAAATCTTTTAACATTACGGATACGGCTTTGACAGACCAATGATCACAATAGGTGCGAATCGGGTCTAAGGGGCGCAACTATCAACCACTTTAATGTCATGGTTATTTACAACGTCATGTACAGAAGGAACATCAGATCCATGTTCCCTGTTACCCCCGAGACTGCTCAACCATGGTTCTACCCATTTCTCCTCTTTGATCTGTCATGCCACATGCCTGTAGGCCATCAAACATCCAAATTCTAACTTGTGCAAAGTTGTGTTTGAAATAAATGGTGAGTTCGACCTATTAGGGCAAGTTTTAACTTATTTGTAACTCTTCGGTATATTTAAATCAAGTTCGAAAACACGCAGTTCAACATATCACATACGTTAAGGACAGATATGGTAAGAGTTTGCCGGGATCGGATAGTTGTTCGACACAAGAGGTGATTCGACACATGGGAGTACTTGGCGTTTAACAACTAACGTAACCTACCTGGTCCGATTCTGGGTGTATTTTATCATCAAGAAGAAAGTCTGATGAATATGTGAATGCATAATTACAAAACAATTCTTAACATAACTTTTAGTAGCCAATAATATGAAATAATGTCTCTCGAGGACGTTTTTCCCCATTGAATCTATCTACATGTTGTGTTCCATGATGCTTACTTACAAGATGTGATCCGTGAAGATCCGAGTTAGAATATGTTTTCGTGAAAGGCGACTAACGGGATCGGGTTGTCACTTGGTCATAGTATCCCGTTTGCGTGGATCGATGCTCATGATATCAATCAGTGTATTGTCTGCTCCAGACTCGGTTATTTACATACCGCCGTCATACAGCTGGAATATTGCTGAGTGCGGCCTTAAACAACAAACAAAAAAAACTTTCAGGATGTGTTTAATTCCTAACCGATAGACAGCAGTGCCTGTGTGGGTAAGAAAGGCCGTAGGGAGTTAAATCAAATCAATCTGTAGAGTGGGGTTGGGGTTAGGGTTCATCGAGGGAGTGTTTTTGTTTGTTTTTTTGTTGTTAAACGCCGCACTCAGCAATATTTCAGCTATATGATGGCGGTCTGTAACATTTATCGAGTCTTGACCAGACAAACCAGTGATTGACATCATGAGCATCGATCCACGCAATTAATTGGGATCGATGACATGTATCAACCAAGTCAGCGAGCCTGACTACCCGATCCCGTTAGTCTTACGACAAGCATAATCGCCTTTTACGGCAAGTATGGGTTGCTGAAGACCAAGTCTACCCCAGATCTTCACAGGTCGCCGAGGGAGTGAGTAAGTTTGGGACACTTTGAACCAGCACTATTTCAAAACAATTATATCACGGTGTGTCAGCTCGCTCTTGGAAGAAATCCCAAAGTGATAAAAGTCTTAGACGTTTACCACTTCGGTGAAACCCAAAGTTAAGGGGTATGATGTTAACAAGCCAAGTAACATTAATCAGGGCGAACAGGGATTCCAAACCACGATAATATATTTCGTCCGCGCCAATGGGACGCAACACGCTTGGGCTTCCCAACAAGGAATAAGTTTAATCAGAGATCATGTATTCCAGAAAACTTCAAATCCTTCTCTGAATATGGTGTTACAATGGCCATGCATGTACACAGGTAAATCTGTAACCAGTCCCTTCCATCTTCCCGAGAAAGGGAATGTGTATAAAAGCTATATCCATCCTATTTGTAAATAAAAAACCCGCCACCTATATATACACACACAAATTATCACTATTTCGTGGAATGTATATAATCTCTGAAAGTATACTTATACTTATGACAAACACAAGTTATAAGCCCACACTGATGATGTAAGTATACAATATCCTTTGTGTAGAATCTTGTGTTATTTCAAACTTCCGTAACTCCATATGTAAGCTCGGGAAGCAGTGTTTGAATGACGTTTCCTACACGGGATCGCATACAAGTGCAGATAAAGGAAACGCGGGCTGAAGTTGAATCATAACCTTTGGACAATACCGAACATCCTCAGTAAGAGCGCATCACTGGCTGCAGAAGGAGGCCATGTTCAAGTTTTAAAACTTTACATTCTGAGGTAAGTAAACAATTGAAAACACATTATGTCAAAGAAAGGCACACTATTCTATCTTCTAAGTAAAAAGTATAAGCCGACTACAATTCGACTGTATTTCGTTGGGCCTGTTTGTTGTTTTACGTCGCACTCCAGCTATATGACGGCGGTCTGTAAATAATCGTGTCTGTCATGTATCAACCAAGTCTTACCACCCGATCCAGTTAGTCGCCTCTCATGATAAGCATGGGGGGCTAAAGACTAAAGTGCTAGATTCTAACCCGTATCTTTACGGGTCTCGTTGGGTCTATTTACTGGTCAAATTGAAACATTTTAATTAAAATATACTGAACCGCAAAAGAAACGTCACTATGGATAGATATATGAGAAATGCCTATCAAAGAAGTTATAAGTAACCTTTTTTGTCCTAACACTGTAAACATACTTTGAGACATATTTAAAAGATGAAACTTGGCAAAACTGATAATCATGGTTGAAATTAAAGTGTCAAATGTTCTTAAAGTGAAACACAACACTAGCCTCTGAGAAAATGGCATCACAAGTCAGTATCTCGTGTGTCCGCCATGTGCATTGATGACTGCCGTGCAACGTCGATACATAGAACATTCTGAGGAACGCCTGACGCAGTTCAGCCGCAGTTGTCGGCCTTGGTCGGACGTCATTCAGCCGTCTGTGAATCTCCCCCACAGGTGCTCTATGGGATTTAAATCGGGACTGAGGGCAGGCCACTGCATGGTTCTGACGCCATTCTGCTGGAGGAAGTCTTTTGTTGCTCGCAGTGTGGGCACGGGCGTTATCATGCTGAAACTCATGGCTGCGGCGACGTGCCAAATGAGGTATGGCGTGTGGACTTGATCAATGTACCGAGCTGCTGTGACACCATTGCCTCTCCCGGGACCGATGTTCTGGAAGACCACAAGGCTAACCCTCTGTGCAAGACCAATTCCACCCCACACCATGATGCTCTGACCATCCCACGAGTCTCTCTCAACAGCCACGAGCTTCCGAATCACGTTCCCCACAGCGTCGCCAGACTCTCTCTCTCTGTCATCTGCTGTTGAGATACAGTAACGGCCCTCGTCTGAGAAGAGGACTCTTCTAAACTGCTGGTGGCACCAACGCTGGTGCTGTGTTGCCCACTGAAGACGGTCCCGGCGATGACTTAATGTCAGAACGGGTCCTCGGTGTGGCCTGTGACAGTGGAGGTGTCTGCTCGTCAATCGTTGACGCACGGTGTCCGCACTAATGTGTCGCCTGTGTGTCCCCATGTTCTGTCGAGCAGTTTCCGCAGCAGTGACAAAGCGATCTGGTCTGGTACCGTTGCTGGAGCCTGTATATGGTCCTTTTGTGGACTTGAAATGCATTGGCTACTTGCCGGGCGGTTTGTCAAGCTTGCAATCGTCCAAGGGCTTGGTGTCGCTGATTTCTTGTCAATCTTGGCATGTGGCAGCAATTCAATAACGAATGAATTTTATCCGATCTGGGTGGATTTTTATAGGGCAAGAAATGGGGGAACATATGTGCATTTAAATTTGCACGGAACTCACGTGCATCGGGTTAACATGGCCGTTGCCGTGATGCGTTTGGGCAATCGGGTTTATTGTCATCTGCTTTGGGTTTTTTATCATCAAATTTCATTTTTCCGGACAAGGTAATGTTAAATTTTAGGCACTTTGACAAAAAATACCTAGATAATTAAATGACAACTTTTCATGCAATGTTACTTGGGGCGACGTTTCTTTCGCGGTTCAGTATATGACAAACTGTAAAATGTCTATACTGTTTGGAAATAGGAGTTACCTTCATTGTATAAACGCACGGTCAATATGTGCCCAAAACAAATTGGGGTAATAATACTGGCTAATTCATAATGGTACAGCGCCGCAATAATTTTGTAGATCATATATAAATGTAATGTTTATACCGTCTCATTTACCGAGGTGAGGTGAAATCGTGTTCAAGATTATTTCACAGTTTATAAAATGGATAACACCACACACACTCAGTATACTGACTCCGAGCCGACCAGTCCTGGTTTTATCCTTTTAATGATCAGCGCCAGGCAGGGAAACAACAAATACCATATTTTAACGTCTTTTGCTATGACACAGCCGGGGATCGAACCACAGAACTTGCGCTCTCTAGGCAGACGCGCTCCACTGGACTATGGAGTCTCTTTCGGTTATTTCGTTGAATATTCCCCTCCCCCTCCCTTCAAAGTAAACTCGATGTCGTTTCCAACCCTGAATTTTGACAATGTAGTCTCGTTTGTCAGTTCTACAACATTAATAGGATCACTTCAAGTTACAAAAAGTGACAGATGATCAATATTAATGATACAGAATATTGTATGAGATACGAATATCTCCATGTCCTACTACTTTAACTGTTTGGTATGGTGTGTCGGTCATATAGCATCATGGAAGTGTAACATGTGGACGAATTAGAACACTGAAATTACATCCGCGTATGACTTCAACTTTTCCAGTTTTGTCAAGTAGTGACTGTGTGAACTTCCTCATCACGTGCTTGTCTGGTTTTGGATACAGTCAGGCTGCCATAGCATGGCAGGGGTACATATGCCGCGCGCCGCCAGGCAATAATACTGTATTTTGTTACGCAAATTGTGTGAATGGCGGGTGCTACTGAAAAGGTAGAACATGCTCACCCTTTCGCGAATACCTGGTGTCATCACTGATTTTCAGACCGCCTCCGTGGTCTAGTGGTAGAGCGTCCGCCCTGAGAGCGGAAGGTCCGGGGTTCGATCACCGGCCGCGTCATACCAAAAGACGTTAAAAGATGGTACTTGTTGTTACCCTGTCCGGCGCTCGGCATTAAGGGGCTAAAACAAGGACTGGTCGGCTCGGAGTCAGTATACTGTGTCTGAGTGGGGTATTCATGTTAAACTGCGGCATAGTATCTCAGTGAGCTAGCACCATAAATCGGCATCAGTCCGGACTAGTACAATCAGCCACACAAATACACACACTTACATGCACGTCGCTATATAAGTTCAATAGTCTTGGACGCGACGTTAAACCCCATTCCACCTCACCTCACCTGATTTTCAGTTGTCGATTCATATAATTTACTGAGCTATTTTGACCTTGACGCCAAATGTAATCTGTTTCGGCGGATAATCAAATCTGGTTATCTCTTGCTTTGACGTTTTATATTTCCGTGATGTCATGTCAATATCAAAAGTCACTATGGTGAAATGTGAATACATGTCTGCAGACCAAAGCAATGTGTTGTCTTAAGTTTGGTGACTTAACATCCAAAACGTTACATACCTTGTCCACAATAGACCCCCCAGGATGATCAAGATAAGATCAACTCAGAATGCATTGTCTATGAGTTAATGTATCGTCACGAAAAATGCAAGCGTTGAAGTTGAGTATAACATAGAATGTCAGCAAATCATGTGCGCATCCCCTGTTTGAGATTGATAAGATATTACACCACTAACTTAAAACCCAAGTATCCCATTGCTTGGGAAACAAAGTATAGTGTTTCATACCATATCCACGTAGGGAACCGAACATGGATCTTCGGCGTGTTTTCGAACACGTTGTTTCTACACAGAAATACAGAAATAATCAATGCTTACTTTCTATCACAAACATCTTAAACTATGGGGGAGGGAGCACGTCAAGTATTATCGGATTGGTTAATAGATACAAATCGAAAGCCAAATTGATGCACGGAATGAAGGAGGATAGTCATGCCATGAGTCTTGTACTTCCAAAAACACTGAACATAGTCAGGGGTATTAAATCAGAGTTATAACATGTGCTAGTACTGGTGCCACATGTCTGAGGGCAACTGCCTCATAAAAGAGATTGGCGAATACAAAGTCAACAATTGGTAATTATCTCAATGGGTCGAATATTTGTTTTTAATTTCTTTGAATTCTTTGAAGTGGAATATGACCAGAACTTCTGCTGATTTGTGGACTCCCATTACTAGAATAGCCTCTGTTACTACAAGGTTACGCTAAAACCAAAAGATGAACTCATATGTCCATACATATGTCCTCCGTAATAGGTTGTGGGGTCTGTAAATGAATAATCGTACCGAAATCTGTTGTTTCAGAGATAGATAGAGAGCGAGAGAGAGATAGATATACCACCAACATGGACAACAGTTCTTCAGCTACAGGTTATCTACAATCTCGAGACGACAAGTACGCGCGTGACAATCTAGCAACCATGTTATTCCTTGGCCTGATAATGTCTGTTGGATTCGTAGGCAACTGTCTAGTGTTCCTTGTCTACTTAACCAAAATGAAACCTTCAACTACCCGCTGTTTCATTCTGGCTTTATCTGTCCTGGACCTCACCGCCTGCTTGATCTGCATCCCCGTGGACATCGTCGACATCAGGTATAACTTCACCTTTGGAGAGTTTGGAACCACACCATGCAAATTGTCGGCCATGCTTGTGTCCTTCACCTCGTTTGCTTCCGGTAATATTCTTGTTGCGGTGGCCGCTGTTCGACACAAGAAGATCTGCTACCCTGCAGGGCATCAGACGACGGTCAAAGCTGCAGGAGTTGCGATATTTCTGTCCTGTGCCTCTGCGTTAACCTTTTCCATTCCCCCGTCTATCTTATACGGTGGTCAGACTAGGGTTCTATCTGACGGCGTCAACGCGACGTTGTGTACGACATCTGACAGCTACGTCAACACAATGCTCCCTCTTGCTTACAACGGCTTCCAGTTTGTGCTGTTCGTTGCTGCAATGGCAACACTATCGGTCTTGTATGTTCGGATATGGAAAAGGGTTGCACGGTTTGCCGAGTTTAAGAGATGGTCGTGGAAAAACAAAGACGTGGATAACAGTGAATCTGGATTTGTTTCCAACGATCAAGGTTCAGGTACCAGAAACACCACCTCTGATAGCGGAAGTCTCGAAGCACATGTCAACACGATGCGCAAGGCTCACAAGACACCTTCTTTGAGCAAATCTGTTATGGGAAGGAGTGACACCATCCTAAAATACCCATCTAAACGTCAGATGACGGCCCGGCGAACCACCTTGATGTTGTTCATTATAAGCATAGCCTTTGTTGTCAGTTTTCTTCCACATCTGTCGTTAATGGCTGCGCGCGCAATACGCCGTGACCTCATTGATAACCTTGAAGGGTTGGCGCTGGCAGCATACAACATATTTCTGAGGTCCTACTTCATCAACTGTGTAGCTAACCCCTTCATCTACAGTTACTGCAACGTGACTGTTCGAAAAGAGATCGCGGCGATTGTCAGCTTGAGGCGTTTCAGGAAGTGAATATATCATCATTGAATTTGTTTGAAATTATGCAGTAGTCAGATTACTTGACAGTGTAATAATTATGTGAGTCTTGATTTACTTTTCTGTGACCCCGTGGATATTCCGGGTTGGAATAATAACAGGCCGCCGTCATCGACAGTGGGAGCGTCTGATCCCTAACACGGTTTAGGGGCGGTCGGGTAGCCTCGTGGTTAAAGCGTTCGCTCGTCACGGCGAAGACCCGGGTTCGATTCCCGACATGGGTACAATGTGTAAAGCCCATTTGTGGTGTCCCCCGCCGTGATATTGCTGGAATATTGCTAAAAGCGGCGTAAAACCATACTCACTCACCCCCTAACACGGTTTAAGCCAGCGCCTTTGAAGACCCGGGTTAGAATTGGTTCCCAGCAACCAACGCTGGTCGTAGTAGGCGACTAACGGGATCGGATGGTCGCTCGGTGGCTTGGTTGGTGCATGTCATCGTAACCCAACATTGTGGGTCGTTGCTCACAATATCAATCACTGGATTGTCTGGTCAAGACGCGATTATTTACATACCGCTGTCATATAGCGGGCATATTGCTAATGCAAATCCGCTAGACAACACACACACACACACACACACACACACACACACACACACACACACACACACACACACACACACACACACACACACACACACACACACACGTTTCTGTTGAAAAGTTACATGTGTATTGTTTTGTTATTTTGACGATTAATATAATATGCTGCTTGATTTTTTCTTTTTTATGTATATTCGAATTTTATCGTCTTTTTGTGTGATTTGGATTCTTATTTGTACAGACATTTCCTAATATATCTACTGATGTAAATACATTGCAGCCTATCAGTATTAAGTATGTATTATACATTACTGGATTCATTGGTAATTATGGACACGGCATGTATGTTTGACAAATCAAACATTGCTTCCTGGTCGCAAAGTTTCACCTTTGCCTTCTCTCCTTTTACACACGACGGAAGAAGTATGACGTCAAACACTTTCTTTGTTTACTAAGGTCTGAATTATAATTTCAACAAACAAAACGAAGGTGGTAGCAAATGCGATGATGGGGATGGGGGAAATGTTTAAAGGTGATCAAATTCAGTGTGTGTCTGTTTTAAAACAGCTGGACTTTCAGATTCGTTTTAGAATGAACTTGTTTGCATGGATTAGATTGAAAAGGCCTAAAATTGATTGATTGACACTTCGCCTTACCTTCCACGTCCATGAAAGACCGACCACTGGATACTTTTATCAGCAATCTTCCAGCTATATGACAGCGGTCTGTAAATAATCGAGTCTGAAAAAAACAATCCAGTGATTAATATCATGAGCATCGATCCACGCAATTTGGATCGATGACATGCATCAACCCTAAGTATTCACAAAACAATAATTAAGAATATGTGACTTCAGCAAATATACTGGAAATAAATTCGATGCCGTATACAATTTATTTACTTCTATACTATTTGTTTACAATGTGATCCATTCTTGGGACCTAACACACACACACACACACAGTAAATACATACGAGTCCTGAAATAGGGGTAATGTGATAGTCACATGGTACCTACTGAAACATACATAAAATACATACCACAGGAGTTCAAGGTTCAGGTTCAAGTATATCGATTATCTGATATCACCCAGTTATGGCCAACAGCCAATTTCCAATGAGACAGCGTCAACTATTTCATATTTAGATCTATGCATAAAGATTCAGATTGACCAACAATACCCACAAGACTGTATGACGGAATGGTTTCAACTTTGACAGTGAGTGAGTGAGTTGGAGTTAACGCCGCTTTTAACAGTATTCCAGTTATATCGCGGCGTGTCAACAATGTGGGATTAAAGCCCATTTACATTGTTGCAATGTGTGTTTCTGAATTTTTTTTATATCATATCTGGTTTTGTACTTGCAGCTGAAAAAAAAAAATTAATCTCAATATCAAATCCCAGAGAGTAGGGATGCGGAGAGTACACTGTGCGTCATGTGACGATTCAAACGTTGATTCTAGGAAAGATGATATTTTGGATGGATGATGTAACGAGTTGGTTCTTTTCCTGTATGATACTTTGGATCTTTGAGTTTACCCTTTCATATTCCACTTACTCACAGTAGATTCAGATTGCATTGGATTCCGAGTAAGTTTAGAGGAGCGTATTAGGCATGTGGTCTATAGACCATGTTTTGAGGGCTAAATATCTAACTATCTACTGTATCGGGTATTTTGTGAATTTCGAACATCTTCATCTCGTAATCAGTGTGATGGGCAGAATGTAACTTGGTAACAATGATTGGAATACGATAAGTATACTGTGATTGTGTTACAAAGTGACACTGCCGGGACAATACATGGAAATACAAGCGATAAAAGCCTTTCCATAAAATATCCATAAGAGAGCTCTGCCAAAAGCAGAGTCGATTGTACGGTTCCGACTATAGTCTGGAAGGTAATTTAAGGTACCGACGTTTACTACAATATCTGAAAAACTATTGGACCTACTCCAGTCAAACTTGGTATAAGATTATTGAACAGTCATACATAACTGGATATTACATTTAAAGACAATCGGTGCATGAATAAAAAATCTGTCTATTTAGCTAACACTATATTTCATCAACAACCAGACCTGATCGTCACGGGTGGAACGAGCATTCATTGAAACAGCCATCTGCATAATGCTACCTCTGCGTCACAGGGCCATATGACACAGTTGAACCAATCAACTCAACTCGAAAGGGTGCACGGAAATCACGCACGCAGCGTTGGGGGTCTCAACGTGCGTGATTCCCGTGCACGTGTGTGTGTGTGTGTGTGTGTGTGAGAGAGAGAGAGTGAGTGTGTGTGTGTGTGTGTGTGTGTGTGTGTGTGTGTCTGTGTGTGTGTGTGTGTGTGTGTGTGTGCTTGTACTAGTCCGGGCTGATGCCGATTTATAGTGCGAGGCCACTGAGATACCATGCCGCTGTTTAACACGAATACCCCACTCAGACACAGTATACTGACGCCGAGACGACCAGTCTTTGTTTTAGCCCCGTAATGCCGAGCGCCAGACAGGGTAACAAGAAGTACAATCTTTTAACGTCTTTTGGTATGACGCGGCCGGGGATCGAGCCCCGAATCTTCCGCTCCCCGGGCGGATGCTCTACCACCAGACCACGGAGGCGGCTCTACTGAACAAGGGAGCAGAATGTGTTGCAATTCATCAGAGTTTTGCTTCAGATATTGTTTCAGGGGTATATGTCAAGGAACAGGTGTTAGCTACACAATTGTTGTTAACCTACACAGAAGGTAGGTGGGTTGTCCCAGGGGTCCCGGGAAAATGTCCAACATTAAACGTTATGGAACAATCAATTATTAGTTTACTACATATTCCTTGGAAGAAAATACATCTGACGTTTCATTGTCATTTCAGAAATAACGATTAAGTGTCAGCAACAATCTTCCCCAAACCTTTTTTTGTCCTTTGAATGGACAACTGGACCACTTCCTGAGCAGGACAAATGATATGATAATAACCATCTCCCCACAATTAAATCGCTGAATATTCTAATCACGTCCAGTGAAGAGTTGTCCGTGGTTCCCAGGTATGCCATGCTTTGCTTCTCACAAGACCCAACTGAACGGGATGGGCGCGAATAAGCCTTCTGTGGGCACGTCCCCCATAAACTATCTCACCACCACCACAATTACATGGAATACCTCTCGTTGCAACATTCGATATAGACGCCACTTGTCCTGGTGTGACAATAGCGATCATGAGTGAAATACATGCAGGTTTTAGACCAGGATATTCGATCTTCCAATGTATACTCTCTTAGCTACTGAATAGAAGTTCATCGTAGAGACAAAGGGCATATTTTACTACATTAATTACCTTTCGAAGGCTTCCGACAGTGACGTTCTTATAAAAAGGTAAAATCGAGTGAGTGAGTGAATGATTATGGTTTTACGACGCTTTTAGCAATATTCCAGCAATATCACAGCGGGGGACACCAGAAATGGGCTTCACATTTTGTACTTATGTCGGGAATCGAACCCGGGTCTTCGGCGTGACGAGCGAACGCTTTTACCACAAGGCTATCCAACCGCCCCACTATCGAATGGGAATACATGTGAACTTTCTATGATTACTAGCATCAATGTACTCTTAACTTATCACTCGTGAAGAATGGTCTTTTTGATCATTTCACCCGTCTTGTCAGAACCCTTCATTTTTTATATGAACCCACAGTGATACTGGAACAGAATGATGGGCCGGTGGTATTTATAAGAAGTGAGATACCACATATATGTGCATTATTATACGCGGACAGCTTCACAGCCACAAACGAAAATTCAGCGAATCCACTGATAGGAGGGGAATTTAAACAAAACTAAAATGATTGTGTTTGGACGATACCGAATATTGAAATACCTGTACAATACTGAACAAGGTCGTTTCAAAAAAGAAACAATTGAAGCTGTAATTTTATAAAAAAAAATATTTAGGAGCTTTTTTCACACTCAAGCGAACAAATCAATCAAATTTATCAATTACTATCAAAAGAGTAATAGATATCTTGAATCCTTTACGACTTTAAAACATTTAACAGTCTTAACGTTCTTATGTTACGGACCTGAAGTTCGGGAGACATCGCACAATATATTAATTGAAAATGTCCAACCAGCTTCCTGTGAACGACATCTTCATCACCCTAAAGCTACACCTAATAATATGGTACTTGGAGAGTGTGACAGTCTCCCTCTGCAGTCTGTGTGATAAAAACAGTGAAATATTGGTGCAGACTTTTTCATCTTCACTCACAGATTACCTCGTCAAGCTTTTTAATGTTACCATCATTTGATGACCCTGGTCGAGTGACATGGGCTACATCACTTAAAAAACATTTTGCCTGTTTAGGTTTCCGTCTGGTCTGGATATCAACACGAAATCAGCGATGATCACTTTATATTTCAGCAAACTGTATCAACACTGGCATGCTTCAAATGTGCGGAACGTCAGTGAGCTTGGAAGACAGTTACATTCCTCATAATGAAGGACTCTGCGTTTTCCGTAAAACTGTAAATCAAGATGAAGATGAATACCATGTGATGTTTATATGTGAACAACATGCCAAAAAGGTTTATAAGTCCTACAAAGGGATTTGGATAACACTTTAATGTAAATATACTTAGGTCTAGTATCTCTTTTGAACATTTCTTTTGTTAGCTAATCTTCTTTTTCTGGTTTCGCTGTATATGATTTACTGTACAAGCTTTTGTAAATACCATGGAGAGGGAGTCCCAAGTTGGATAACTTGTTCCCAATCCATTTCAGTCTGAATAAAATATGTTTAAACTAAAAAAGTACCTCTCATCATATTACATTGACTCTCTAACTCTGATGAATTTCGCACTGCTAATGCAAACATGATACATTTGTTCTTTATAATATGGGCGTGCTCTTAGCAAAAGCCTACAAATTAGGAAACACATTATGTCAATACCATTTATATAATGAAATTGTTAATGTATACTTTAATTCAGCATCGTTATCTGCTATGCCATGTTAATGTATTACGGGCCTGTGGCTTGCTATTGAATCAATTATATGTCTGTCTGAATTTTTAAAAAACCCACACTATAGATATCTGACCGAGTCCCCTTCAGAAACCATTTTATTACAATGAGTGTATTCAAAACGAATCGAGAAAAAGCAAAATTAGAAACTTTTTACAAAAAGAGTAACTAATGATAACGAGTGTAGAACTTACTAATTATTTATTACTCAAGTATATTTTGCACATTACTAAAATTCACGAATAAAAATAATAAAAGACGTCGGTGAATTATGAATGGACCGCTGAAGATCAGTGATGGCATGTCACGGAGATAAGCTTGTCATTAAACAAGAATAAGGTAATAATGAAAACGTGGTAATAGGTTCACATGTTTATTACAAACAACTAATTGTACCAATAGAAAATAAAAATATCAATAAAAGAACCAACTAAGCCCAAAGATCACTGATAAATTAAATCAGAGTGAGTGGGTGAGTCTAGTTTTACGCCGCTTTTAGCAATATTCCATCAATATCAAGGCGGGGGACCCCGGAAATGGGCTTCACACATTGTACCCATGTCGGGAATCGAACCTGGGTTTTCGGCGTGACGAGCCAACGCTTTAACCACTAGGCTACCTGACCGCCCCCAAATCAGAGCAAATACAAAAGCGACTTAGCTCAGCAACTGTATTACAGTAATAAAATGAAATTATTACAGATTTACAAGAAACTATGTACAGTTATTGAGGAGGCAAAAATTACCATAAATACATGAGAAATATCTTGGTGAACACATAAATTCCCCTTATGTTTGAAGATCATAGTTACAAAACCATTTCCAACACATGAATAAGGTAGCGAACATATAGGAGATAACAATCATCAATTCAATACAAGAAGAATGAGCAATTAAACCACAAAAGTCTGTAATGTAAGGGTCGATAATTCCCTAAAACAGAATGTAATGACACTGAACAACGACGACCGCTAGACTTTGCCGAGCGCTGTAGCAAACAGAGCAGGGGAGAGGTACGGTCATTAGACCGTGACAAGGTTAGATTTACGACAGTGTGACATACCACGAGGTGCCCCCGAAAGGGTAAACATGTCCTGCGCTAGTGGTAACACCCACCACTCACACAAGTCTCATAAAGAAATACAAGTAAGTGTTTTTTTGTTGTCTGGCGGCGCGCAGCAGTACTCCTTCCACACGACAATCATTATTTTCAATGTGTCGGCCATGAGGGACACCTGCAATACCACCAGTATATTGTGAAGACACGTTTACAGTGTTATAGCCACAGCGTTCAGAGATTATTGAAGAAGGAAAAAACTTTATTGTTTCGTAAAATATATTTTGAGTTCATCGAATCGATCCGGGAACAAAATGAACAGGTAATAAACGTTTATATAATTATGAAAATTTAAATATCTGCCCGTCAGTTTCACTTCGTATTCAGATCACAGCGAGTGATACAAATTGTAACTAACAACGCCGGAAAACATACACCCGGAAACTATTGAAGTAATATTAACTATACATGTACGCAACGGCGTTACAGAGAAGAGATTACGTTATCTCTACGTTAATGTCCGAAACTGAAAGTTCAAATCACAGCGTAATATTCATGTTGTGAACACCTGTCAGATAGTTCGGCTTTGACGATTGAAATCGGATAGCAATGGGCAATTCAGGTGAATATGTATTGTTTCTCACTACTTTCATTCATTCCTTTATTTCAGCCACATCCTGACCATCTTTCAATTTGAAACTATATTACCAATACATAGCTATTTTATTAGTTGCGTCCCCATCCGCTCCCGCCCACATCTAGCGATAAAATGACTTGACTGTGCTTTAAAATAAGAAACCTCGTATCACTGTGATCTGGATATTTGAACACAATGTGAACTGAAAGCATAGCGCTCATTGGTCAACATAGTGTCGATGTGGAATGCTTCACGTCACCGATGCATGAACAATTTGATCTCTGTGTTTTAGCATGCAAATAATTCATGAAAACATTACAGTCACCGTAACTTAAGGAGGACACGCATAATTTCAGACTCACAATCGTAGCTATTTCGCCAAAATCCTAAGGGATGTCATCTCTGTCTGTAAACATAGAATTCGCATAGGAACAAAATACCTATACCAAATGATGTACTTGTTTCAGCTCCTACCCTGATAGGAAACCAAACAACACAGTGCGTGAAAGTACAAAGATCTGCTGCCGCGAAACTCCAGTCATTGTCAGAGTTCATACGAGAGCAACAAAAGGATGCCAATATTGCCAAGGCAACCTTTGGATCCACAGGGATTGTTGGTACAGGGATGGTACTGGCCGGGACAGCTTTGGCCACGGGTAGATTGTCCACGGCAATTATAGCTGTCGGAGTCACAGCTGGAATCGCCAGTGGTGCCGGGGAAATTGCAGTGTCCTGGTTTGAATCTGAGGTCAGTACTTAGGACACAGAACACACACACACACACACACACACACACACACACACACACACACACACACACACACACACACACACTGGATATTCTCAATAATGATATTCTACGACGCTGCGTCTACATTATGTTTATTTTGAAGTGGTTTTACAGAGGCGGCTAACGGGATCGGGTGGTCAGGCTCGCTGACATGATTGATGCATGTCATCGATCCCAATCACTGGATTGTCTGGTCCAGACTCGATTATTTACACAGACCGCCGTTATATAGCTGGAATAAGTGAACACATAAGTGTTTTGGTGTGTGGTTTTATCAACACGTTCATAAGTTTGAAATTCCGTTTGATGAGGTCGTAATTCCGGCACGTGTTCGTTGTTTTACACTCGGCTATATTTCAAACTCATATATATCACGTCATGCTGTCACGCAACTAATACCATAGTTGCCTCGTACGACAAGCATAGTTTGATGGGGACCTGTTCTAACCCGGACTCGCCATGGGTTTGCAGGTAGGATCTCTAGATCTCCTGATTTAACTACTCAATATAGGACAATGATAAATAAGAACAATTGCTTTTTATAGGAACTATTTATCTTGGCAGCTTAGGTTTTTAACAACTGGTTAAATGTTTACAATTACTCTCAATACTATTTTCATAAAGTAAATGAATATTTTTTAATCCAAAACATATGAATTACTTTTCAGGAGATGAAAAAACGTATTAAGGAGGTTCAGGATATTTTAGACAAGCTGAAAGAAGAAACACAAGGCTTAATAGAGGCCTTAAGGCGGAACAAAAAATATAGATATGTTCCAGACTACGACACGTTAGTAAGAAATAAAACCAAATTAGATTATACCAAGAAATGTGGAAGACATGCAACAAGGGCACTTTCAGTGATCAATGCAACACTACGAGTCCAGTGGATGGCCATTGGCCTAAAGCCAGAAGCGGTTTGTATCAAAGACATCGCTAAGTTCCGGCGAGGGATCTCTGCCCTACGGAAGGTAAAGGCTGGTAAGGTGATAAAATCTGCTGGCGTTGCAGTAGCCGGTATCAGCTTGGCTATCGACATTAAGGATGTTTTGAAGAATCTCAGCGATGTCAAAGGCAATGTGTCAGAAGTCGCCGATGTTGTTGAAAAGATGGCCGAAATACTTGGCGCTGTGTGAAGCTGTCATTGTGGTTGACAATTCTTGAACATTCCGAAAAAAGTGAACTTAATTGTTTTTCAGTGTGTTTCACAAGATATTGGGAAGACAAGGAATTCAGATGTTCAGTTATTTAACTAATTGCACGAAGGTAAAACATTTATGATTCTTTAAACGTTTTACAGCAATGGTTGTCAAAGGTCACAACAGACTGTAGAGGAATTGAGGGCGACCACCGTGGGGTAACCGCGCTCATGGCCTATTGTTCTGATTTATAGTGATGTTTCAGTGCGTCACTGCTCAAATGAATGTTGTCACTGAGGGACACAATGGTCATGTCGTCTGGGGCTCCGAAATTCCTGGTGCGGAGTTGCGTCCCTTAGGTGTGCCAGGACTTCAGGACTTTCTCCTATATTAAGCTGACACACCGTGATATAAATACTGTAGACATCAGCATAAACTCCACTCAGTTTATATTTTTGAATATGAAGGACAAAAATATTATTTGATTGCTCAACCTATTTAAAGATGTACAATAAAGCGACAAATCCATTTCCACAATTAAAAGAAAGCTCTACTTAAATCAGAGTCCATTGTACGATTCCGACTATATCAAAGCATAGTTTAATGAATCACTATAAAATAGCGATAATACCAGGTGTTCGCGAAAAGGTGCCACACCGTTGGCACCCGTCACGACACTCGTTAAGACGTTAGAACTTTAGTGAGTGAATGAATGAGTTTTAGCAATATTCCAGCAATATCACGGCGGGGACACCAGAAATAGGCTTCACATATTGTACCCATGTCGGGAATCGAACCCGGGTCTTCGGGGTGACGAGCGAACGCTTAAAGCACTAGGCTACCCGACCGCCCCTTAGAACCATAGCTTGACAACATCTCATGTGTTGTTTTGCATGACAAACAACCGCCATTCAAACTGTAATACATTGAAGTCTTGAGGTCTTGAGATCTGTTCAAATTAGTGAGAAACATGATCGATTTGTACAGCATCAGACAAGAGCCATTGAACTTCTTTTCGCCTCTGGATGATATAATTGTAAGTTTCGTTTCTGTGAAAACATATATCAGTTTTCTGGAACATAGTATCGTTAGAAACGAATAGTTATGCGTATAAATAGTTCCATATCCAAAATTGATTATACAGTTACTGACAAAAGTTTATTGCTACAACTTTGAATTGACATATTTATGCATTTCTGATGAATATGTCTCTTAATGTTAATCTGATTTGGTTGTATCACAATAGCCAATCTGTTTCAGTTTCAGTAAATATTTTACGACATTTTCGCGTCTCGATTCATTATTTTGTTAGCGGTTGCCGCTAAGTATCGCATGTCGACTTGCGAGCGCGGGGATTCCTCGTCGATGTCGTGTCCATGTACTATGACATTGTGGAACTCATTGCGATGACGGAAATACAGTGTTACCAGCATATGCCCAATTTGTTTTCCCAGCTGTACAGCTGTTCTATGGAATATATTTATTTTATGAAAAATAAATAAATCTAGAAACGCATACAAAAGCAAGTCTAGCCAGCTCAAGCTATCAGCATAGGGCATTTTTTTAATTTTTAGAGTCAGGAAGGATATTGTGTAATATAAGATTTCAGAGACTAAATGTTAGTCTAAGAACCTGGGTGTGATGTAAAAATCAAGGAATAAATGGTATTGAACTACATAGATTTGACATTTACATCCCATGGGATTCGAGAATGATTATTCCCTGACGATGACGTTTTGAATGTACATTTTTACGTATTTGGCGACTATGTACATATTTACGTATTTGGCGACTAAATGTAATCTTGTTTTGTTGTTTAACAACGCACTCTAGCTATATTCCAGCTATATGACGGTGGTCTGTAAATAATCGAGTCTGGACCAGACAATCCAGTGTCAGGAGGTCAGGCTCGATGCCATCATACCCCTGCATAAATTAGCAAACAAGACAAAGAGCGTCCTGTGAAGCAATTAATGTTTTATTTTTGTTGGTGTTGTTTAGGGGCGGTCGGGTAGCCTCGTGGTTAAAGTGTTCGCTCGTCACGCCGAAGACCCGGGTTCGATTCCCGACATGGGTACAATGTGTGAAGACCATTTATGGTGTCTCCCGCTGTGAAATTGCTGGAATATTGCTAAAAGCGGCGTAAAACCATACTCACTGACTGACACTTGTGATGTTTAGGGAGGGATTTAATACAATTTGAACTGCATCGATGTCTGAAATATAATAGAAATCGGCACAAGACACTTCTTATACCCACTTTTAATACTATTGTTGCGAGGAGCTTAGCAAATCAGTCATGTGGGTTGTATTGTTAATACATGTATTATCTCTACGAGCCAGCCCTTGAATCACAGTACGGCTGGTGAAATGTGGCGATATGATATTTGGGTGTTTCAATGTCAGTTGTCCTGTTCATTTAGAGATATAAACAATAAAACATCATTCACATCTCCTGTTTTAACAAAATTAAAACGCCTGCATATACCTGGAATACTGCTTAGCACGACGTTAAACGACAATAAAATGTGCAATTCCACTCCAAGACTCCATCTCTAAAATTCCACTCCAGGTTAGACTGTGGCGTGAGTTCGAACAAATTCGAAAGTAGGCCTTTTCCCCGAGAATTGCTAATTCATTGAACGGGTAAATGCATAGATACGTGTAACCCGTAACATGGAAATGCAAAAGCTATACATTGTTCCCTTACAGCGAAGCCGGTTAATCCTGACGGAGACCGACGCAACCGACGCCTGACCATCTTCCCGAGGCAGGGGAGTTTACTGACTTTTAAAGTCCAGTGCAATTATGGATTTATATTTTGGCTGGACTAACGAGTCTATGCATAGTCCAATCAATATATTAAAAATAAATATATTTAGACTATATCAAAATCAGTTCAGGTGGGTAAATCAGTTGAAGGGAGCTGGCTATTCACCGTTAATTAACGATATCAGATGACCTAACCTCTCGTCTATAACGCCACTATACCGTGATATGCCGTCAGACGCATCTGAATTGCCAATTCTGATAGAATTTCCATCGCCAAAGCCGAATTGTCTGTGTGCTCAGCAGGAAAAGTTTGAATTTGCGATTTCGGAGACGGCCCTCGTCGCTTCTCTGTAACTCCGTTGTGTACACGTAAATATAATACTACTTGAATACGTACCGGATCGATCGTCAACATTTAGGGCTTGTTGGTACCTGTTCCACTGTCTGGTAATCACAGATTGTGAAACATTGAATATATTGGCGACTACACGCTGACTTCCACCAGTGTCTAGCCCGCAGACGCCGCTTCGCTAGCTGGTACACAATGAAGGAAATCAAGAAAATCACAAATGTACGATACGCAAAATCAATAAGATTTACAGAAATAATGATCCACATAGATGAATCGACCTTCCTTGAACGTGTCAAAATCTGGAATGACATCCTACGCACGTCTGTAGCGCTACTGCGTGTGGCACGTGCAAACTATAAGATGGGTTTTGGTGTCATGTTTCACAAACATATACGTTCTTGAATAGGATGTTTGTCGTCAACACTTTGTTTAAATACATGGTATTTCATTTATATTTCAAGATCTATTCTTTTGAAAGAGTCTAGATGTTATCGACGAGGCAGTCCAGTATTTCATATATTGTTTTTTTCCCAGTAAATGTCAGATGACATTTCCTTTCATGTTTGACAAATGGTCCTGAACCTCTGAGGATAGAGATGTATTATTTGTTTGGTCACCACGTTCAGTCAAAAAATGCCCCATGACTCAAGGGAATGATGTTTGTCGTGTGGGATAGTAAAAAATTAAAAAATCAAATGTTTTGACAGAATCGAACTAGTTCGTTTCTGAAATTGAAAAAAATCAAACGAGTCCTCGAGTTGTTTTAGAATCCACATGGTATCAAGTCCCCTTTGTTGTATTTAAGATTATGGCTAATATTGGAGACTTTGATTTGGTGGTACGGATTTCTGTGGAGCTTTGGAACCCAGTAAAAGTTAAGAATGGACATGTCTTCAGGTTTTAGAGTCAAGTCAAACGTTGAATACTGATTCAGGGTTTTGGTAGATTTCTTCCTCAGTTAACATACTGACCTTATATGTGGCATTATTTGATATGTCACTTATAAAAAGTTCTTTGGTCAAGCAATTAATGTAGCACGATGGGTTTTTTTCACCTTTGACATAGACAAGATCATTTATGACAGAACACTAAATATATGCGCCGTACAATTTTTCTAGATTCAATAAGATTAAGAAATATCATAAAAAAATTATACATTAATTTTGTACCAGAATCCATGGACAAAAACGACCTCGAAAGTCAAAGGTGACAACAGATTCTCTTGTCAAATTGAGTGCGGCTACCTAAGTAAACTCTTTCAGAGATGTAAGTGTTGTGTGTTACGACTTCTCCCGCTCACGTGCCTTATTGTTTTTTTATATGAATGTTCACTGTTATTGTTGTAGTCACTAAAGTGAGTGAGTCAGTATGGTTTTACGCCGCTTTTAGCAATATTCCAACAATATCACGGCGGGGGACACCAGAAATGGGCTTTACACATTGTACCCATGTCGGTGATCGAACCCGGGTCTACAGCGTGACGAGCGAACGCTTTAACCACAAGGCTACCCGACCGCTCCTGTAGCCACTTTTGACAATGCAGCGATTACAGAGACTGCTCAATGAAGTGTTACCATTTAGGGGATACAAGTTGCTCAGTCTTTTAGAGTTCTTGAATTCGTTGCATGTGCAGAGTTGCGTCCTGTGAGTGAAACCAGATTCCGATAATTGTGGGTTCGAACCCCAAATTCACTTTCAGGACATTGATTGGGTTGTCAGCGTCAATGATCCAATACAGCTTTAGGCTTTCCTCCCACATGAAGCTGGCATACCTTGATGTAACAGAAATGCTGTTGAAACAGGCATAAACCCCAACCACTCACTAACTGTCAATCATAATCTTTAATATGAAACACAAAAATGTATTTGTATTGCTCCCTTCATATAAACATGTGCACGACCTTCATATAATAGCTTGAACACATCAGTTGTATATTATTTTGCATGACAAAACAGATGTCATTCATCCAGACATTGTAGTCTTTAGGGTTGTTATATATTAATACCATGTCAACAGGCGCATACACATGAAGAGGAACTGTTATGGTAATATGATAATATAGAGGATATGTCATTTGTGAAATTATATACAATGTCTCTCCCATGATATGAAACGACGAGACATATTCCCCCTCGTACCGCGAGATGAGAAACCGATCTATATGTATCTACCTAAACTGTCCAGTAAATAATATTTCCATATAAACACTGTTGTTAATAACAGTTCGAGGCTGTTTAGCATTCTTCCAATTTGTTAGCCATTTTATTAATGACATCTGCCACTTCAGACACATTGTTGTGAAGTCTGATGCCGTCTTCAAATAGTCCTTTAATGCTCAAGCCAATGCCGACTGCGGACCCAACAGGACCTGCTGCACGGAGAACTTTAGCGCCCTTGCTGAGAGCCTTAAAACCAGCAACGCCACCTGCGAGTTTTGGATTTGCTGTCGCTCCGGCCATGGCACCTTCAACAGCATCAGCAACAACCTGTCCTCCGTCCAGGGATAGTGCAATCTTCTGAGCATGGGATGCTGCTCTTACGATGTCAAGTGCCTTCTTGATGTTTTCATGAAGCTGATGGGCCTGATATCCGATGACGCCAACTTTAAAAATCATGTGCCCAATTTCATCTTCTGACATTCCGTAGGCTTTAAGTTGAATTTTTAGTTCTTCGACTAATTTGTTCAGTTTCCCACTCAGCCGATCCAGTTCCTCTTGTGCTTTTTCTATTGCTTCATTAACGACACTGAACTCGATTGCTTGGGTAGTTAGATCTCCTACCCCGGAAGCTACTCCTATCCCTCCACCTGCGACAATAAGTGCAATGGACAGACCACCAGTGAAAGGAGCGAGAAAGGCGCCTGCGATAGATAATCCACCCGAAACAATCCCAGCAGAGTGGAAGGAGACTTTAGCAATATTCATCTGCCTCTGTTTCTCCCTCAACACCTCCGCAAGCTTTCGCAGTTTACTGGCAGTTCGTTTCTGAACGTCTCGGCAATCTGAAGATGCCTGCTCCAGGCTGTCGTCTCCTAAGAACAGGGAGAAGCTATTGAAGAACATGTTAACTGAGAGCAAAGGTGAAGCTACCAGAAACCCTTGGGGACCCGGGTTAGAATTAGTTCCCCATTAAATCTATCATTGTTTGTTTGCCGTTTAACGCCGCAATCAGTTATATTCCCGCTATATGACGGCGGTCTGTAAACAATCGAGTCTGGACCAGACAATATTAATACAGTGATTAGCATCAGGTGTATCGAGCAATTGATTTGTTTGTTTGTTTGTTGTTTAACGCCGCACTCAGCAATATTCCAGCTATATGACGGCGGTCTGTAAATAATCGAGTCTGGGCATGACAATCCAGTGATTGACATCATGAGCATCGATCTACGCAATTGGGATACGATGCTATGCATCAACCAAGTCAGCGAGCCTGACCACCCGATCCCGTTAGTCGCCATTTACGACAAGCATAGTCGCCTTTTACGGCAAGCATGGGTTGCTGAAGACCTATTCTCTACCGGGACCCAAACAAACAAAACCCTATGCCCTCTCACACTCTGTCCTAGCTTCATCAGCTGCCCAGCCATATACAGAGAAAGGACAAAGAGTTCGTTTATAAAACCCTATCTCTTATCTCTAGATAGACGCTCAGCCCCCGAGGAACATAATTTTGATAGCAATGACTAGACTAAACAATGTAAAGAAGCCACGAGATAAATGACACCCGCACAGGAATACACCCAATCTCATTAAAGTCAGACCTCAGTTCTCGCTACCGCTAAACAAGCTAAGAGAACTAAGATCTGATTATAATGCGATTGCTACACTGGAATACACCAGATGTATTATCAGCAGAACATTCTATAAAATCCTTCTACCATAACATAAAGGTTTCCTTGACTTGCATTTTTACTGGCACCTCTCCTTGGAGGCTGAACAATGCTTGCGTATGTCATCACGTTATTTGGCCCAGCCCTTCATCTCAGGAAAATCTAGTATAGCTTTATTCGGGGCTATTTGGGAAATATTTACGGCTGGGGTGATGTAAAACTAATTTGTTTTAGGACTATTCAAGACAATCTTATCCATGATTATGGCAGTACAGAACTGGAAATGAACATCTAAACGATATACTCAAGCCACAAACACTGTGTAGAGAATCATTATACGTTATAAAAGCTTTGCTTTATACACTAAATATTTATTGATAATTACCAGTATGCACTACACATGTCTAAAAATAAAACGTGAATACATTTATGGCAAGCGCGATGCAATAAAAGACTTTAAGTATGATTATGTGGGATACAGTTTATTGTTTACAGTTCCGTTATTGTAGATTGAAATTAACCAATCCAAATGTTTTATAGAATAAATTCCTTAGAGACAGTGCAAGTCTATGTGATCAACATGGAATGTCGTCCTCTCACCTTGACAAGCATAGAGTTGGGCAATGAGTTTTCTGTAGTGTCATGGAGCAAGGCTATCAATCTATGTCCATTCAGTATAGAAACACAGGATGGAACAGGATTGTTTGGGGGGAGGGCGGCCAAGTAACAGGGAGAGGGGTAGCCAGCGGAAATGGATGTATGAGATATTAATTAAGTCCTATTGTGACACGGAGAGGCGGAACGCTGCACGTTGAACTTATTTCGGGAACTTTCCCAAAAATGAGAAAATGCTTGTTAAAGCAATGCAATGATTTTGTTCAGACATTTCGTTACATAAGGCATAATGATATCAGAAGCTTCCATGGCAGATACACAGGAAATATGTTCGACGGTGGCTTGTTAATTCTTTAATCTATATTCTTTTTATGTTCGTTTAATCTTTGAATACAAGATTATATTTTCTCGTTGAGGGGTTTTTCGTTGAGGGATATTATTTCACCTTTTTTGTGAATGAAATTTGTTTAAATGAAACAGAAGTATCATGCATAATAATTGGTGTATATTTATTGACTTGAAGACAATGTTGTCTTGTTAGTCAGTTTATCACGATAAGGAAAAGGTAGACTGCCACCACACATATTAACTTAGAGCCTTAATTGGTGAGAACAAGAGACATGGCAGGCCCCGGATGTAGGGGTGTACAACCTCTGTTATCTTGTGACCTATAGTATATCACTCTCGACCCATGACGCTCTGTACAGTATGGAGACGTGAAACAGTAACACATGGACTGTTGCCTTGGAGTGGAGTCTTAATATAAAATGAAACAATATTTGGCAATTGTGTTTGAACGTACACGAACCTGTAGAACACAGTAGTCTTTACCAAGGTGACTACGGTCGCTCACAGTTAATAGAAACTGGGAATTAGACGTTGATATAACAACAAACAATGAGTTTTCCTGTTACTGATCTTGGAATTTTCTCATATGGAGAAGATTTAAAAAACTATGTTCGCCACTCTATAAGCCTTTATCTCACCTTACATTAAATACTAGCTTCTGATTGGTTAAGGAGTATGCAATTACTTTTCATGTCGCCGCTAAAAAAATCAATCGGAACACATCGTAGGTAACTTGTATATCTCGAATATGTATCGTTTCGTTGAAATGTTTGAAATGTTTATCTGAATGCACTGGGAAAGGGGAAATAAGTCAGATATTTGCGTCGTCTGCTACGAGTTTTGCTAACTTAGTGAAACTGCGGACGTATATTCCGGACATTAATGACTGTCGGTGAGATAAATTCGTTGTCAACTGATCCCTCGGGGCATATGGTTATGTACCCTGTGTGTGAGCCATGTGTGTGAGGGTACATTATAAGTTGTCAACTGATCCCTCGGGGCATATGGTTATGTACCCTGTGTGTGAGCCATGTGTGTGAGGGTACATTATAAGTTGTCAACCGATCACGAGGGTTATAAGGTGTGGTGTACCCTGGAGAGGGGTACGAGGTGAGACTTTGACAAAATATCTGCCTGTATGTCTGTTAAGCTCCAAGTCAACCGGGTATCAACCGGGCGAAGGGACGTCCTGTCGGATAGAATCGGCTAACGACCTGCACTGTTTCCCATATAAAGAGGCGGGTAAATCTTAAGATTTTTTGCAGTCTTGGACACATGAGGCTATTTCAAGATTGTAACAGGAATAATCTGCATATTTTTTATTATCCCTACACTGTTTGTAACACTGACATACAGTAAACTTTGTTATATACAATAGTATTAATGTAAGTGTAAATCTTTACAAATAACACACAGACATCCCCTTTCTAACAATACAGTAATTCATAGATGTATGTCTATTTATTTATTGAATGCAAATATCGTCACGCTACCGATTCCATTTTTTCAGGATATCCAGCTTGCCCAACGTAGACAGATTAATTTCTGAAACAAATCATTTTGCAAATACCACAACGTGTTTTGTTCATGCAATTACTGAAATATTTAATTGTCCTATCTGTAATACAATTTTATGTAGTTTTATGCCAACGGTATTTAGGTCATACTACCGCCTACAGCTGGAATATTGCTGGGTGCGGCGTTAAACAACAAACAAACAAAATCTTTTAATCTGTCAACTGGGCAGTCGGACGTTGCTCTAGTCTGAGACAAGCGTAAGCGAGATAATTTTGCCCAGTGACAATTGGTACTGCTACATACACCAATGAAAATGATAAATATTTTTAGCTGGACGATCCAGCCTTTGAACAGACTGTGCAGCTAATCAAATGTGTCAGTGAGATATTTGGGCCTTTAAATGTCAGTTATGGCCTTCTTGGTTTAATTATTTAATATATCAATCAATACAATTTATATGCGACTCCACGTAAAGACTCCATCCTTATGACTCCACTCCATGATAACAATCCGCCCATGTAACTAGTGAGGTGTCGGCAAATTCGAAAGGAGGTCATTTCCTCGAGAATTGATGTCCTCGTAACCTCCCATATAGCCTTGCTCTAAGGCTGTACAGAAAGATTAATCCATGTATGTGTAGTAATTTTATCCTTATACAAGGCAAGTCTAGATAATCGTACAGCACACCAGTCTTTTATGGGGTCAAGTTGTTCCTATTTTTCACATAATCTAGAAATTATGATTTAAACTAATAATTATTGCCTCAGAGAATTGTGCAAGTCTACCCGCTACAGAAAAAAATGTCTGTATGTGAAGTTGTGCTCAACACGTGGTCTATACCTGGTCATGATTGATATTAAAGTTCAACAACGCTCGCTGAATGAAAGATGTACTCTTACTATTTTTCTGACTGTATATTATACGCACTATATCTTACGATAAACTTACTGTTGTAGTTTCACTGGCATTCTAACTGTAATTGCATTAACTGAGCAAAGTTTCATCTACTGTGGTATTTTATTATTGTTACCCTTTAATTTAGTCTGTCATACAGACCCTGATACAAATATATCCAACACAGCCCATGCGAGTCTATAATGTTTGCAAGTCTAGATGACTGAAGAGAGTCGCTGGGCTCCTTTTTATTATATTTTTATTTAGATAATTTAACAACCTTTTTCAGGAAGATATGTTCATGAGACTAGATGTTAGTCTACCTTTAGTTGTATATGTCATGCTCCAATTATTCGTGTCAGTATCATTTAGACATACAGTGAAACCCTGTTTTTCTGCACGGTGTCGTTCCCAGTGAAACACAAATTCTTCGAATTCCACATATAACGGTACATTTGTGTTACCTTGGCAAGTATGTAATTACCGTAAATAGAGTGACTTCAGATTTGATATGTGTGGAGGATTTTTTAGACCTTGACGGCTAGAAGACAAGTGAGAATAAGATCTGATTGTCAATATAGCATTGTTAACACTTTGATCTGATTAAATGTAAGCGCACACCTGATGAGTTTAACAGTAAACAGACATAACTATGTACTTACTTGAATTTCCCATTTTGAGGTACTTTCACTGTGCAAGTTTCAATCGATGTCAGGGCAGGAATGTGAGACGACACGCTGGGTTTTGATATGATTTAATGCAGCTGTACGAACTTTCACTTTGTTCCTTTCATTAAGAAACAATATTACCTAGCTATTTTATTACTTGCTGGGTAATAGAAGTAATATCAGTGTACATGGAATTGGTTCCTCTTCCGTCACGCCCAGATCTAGCGATTGATCGCTGGATCGATCGATCGATAAATGACTTGAATGTGTATAAACATAACAACCAATCAGACACCTCGTATCACTGAATAAAGGCTATTTAAAAGCTATGTAAATTGAAAGCATGGCTCTCATTGGTCAGCACAGTTTCATTTGGCAAGGATGTAAGGGACTGGGGGTGTCACTTGTGCCTTATTATAGAGCTTGTGCGGGAGGTGTTGAAAAGGGTTGTTTTGTATTTGGCGGAGGGGAAGAGGTGGGTGGGTGGGGGTGAGGTGAAAAATTATGACATGAAAAGGGGGTGGGAGAGTTCATTTCTGTTATCCAAATGGCATGCTTGCCAAATGACATTGTTATTAAACAATTCAACAATATTTTGTAACAATACCATGCATGTATGCTCAGTAAAACCCCAAACACAGCCCTGGTCAGGTTTTGTAAAACTTTTGTTAACCTCTTTTCTTTATCCTTGAAGTGCTTGCCACACACTACACTGTTTGGGATATCTGTGAAATAGAAAAAATTGTTTTCACTTAAACATGTTAATAATGTGCGATCACTTTCTATGTAAATGTATGACTTTAATCACCAGTTTCACTACTTGTATTATCCCATAGATTAACGCCTTGTCTATGAAAATATATAATAGAAAGATTTGATTTTAATGAGATTGCAGTGAGGTGTGAGATGAAGATCTGGAACCTGTGGACTGCTTCATTTTCAGATATAGCATTACAGTAAGAGCTCGGCGGGAGGGAAAGTAACAAGTGTCAGGGACTGTGGGGCTGACTATATTATCCAGTTGTGCAATAGTATTGTGTTATGGTCTTAAACTACATGAATAATCAGACTATATTTAAACGTAGGATATTCTCTAATCATATACCCGATATATGATGGTGAAAAATCACCTGTTGTGGCAGACAGTTTCTTTCTTTTTTTCACAGTCACAAACATTGGTATGTTATTTTTTAAATAAAATCAGGAGCATTTTCAATCCAAATAGATAATGTCAAATTATATTGTGATTTTATTGATTGTGCAATAAAATTAAAGAGAATAAAATTAGACATAGTAGAACATATGTTTTGGAAATAATTATATAAAAGGCTGGTTGGTCAAAATGTCCTTCAATACAATACGTATTGCCATGGCAATGATGCACGAACGATGCGTTCATAAACAACAGATAATAAAATAATGTGTTAATATTGAAACAATATTCCGAACTAGACAAACCAGTGATTGACATTGTGAACCAACGCCGTCAGGGTACGGTAATATAACAGTAACAGTAGGTAACAGTCTCTGAAAATATATAATTTCGATAAAAACAAGCAACAGGATTTAAATTGAAAAGAAGTCCCTGTGAACCTGTGGAGAATATAAACTTGCTTCGGATATTTGCAAGGTCCATAATCGGTCGAGTGTCAAGTGGTATAACAGACTTGTACCACACCCAATCACAGTTAATTTCTTGCAAATGTTCTGTAGTAAAGTTATATTTCTGAACTTTGAAATTACGTTGTTAGTTGTAAAACTGTACAGTGTACACTGTAGAAGAGTGTTACATTTTCGCGTCCAATCAGTGGTGAGTTTGTTTTCTCTCTTCAGGCCTTATCACTAAACTCCACCCACTTTCATAAACCATACACAGCTACGTTTACAGCATATAATCACGCTTGCGGGTGTTGTACAAAAAATTATATCAGCCCATAACAACGGGTCTGCATTTATACGTCCTGGCATGCTGTCCCCTACTTGAGCAAACTATTTACGACCTCATAAACACAACAGTCGCAGTCTATTCAGCAGGTAGAAGGAGAACTTCACAGATCGGCAGCTATTTAAATTATCTTTTTGTTGAAGGCAGCACTGACATGCATCTTTGTAATACATGGGCTGATTGAACTCTTTTGTCAATTGAAAGTATCAGAAAGTAAGATTATAGTGCAAGACATTTAAATATGTAATTGATTCTTGTAAACCTGCGCCCATTTTCATAGACGATAGAGTATTCACATCGGCATTGTTTCATATGCAGAAATTAAGATCACCGTGTGTATTTTCTCGTATTGACATTGTTTATGTAGTATTCTCATGACTGACAAAATTTAGAACTTGATGGCATGTACTCAATGGAGAAGGGAGATTTGTTAAGTTTGCCAGTGTAAAACAAAATCTGTTTATTTTATTTACCTGTCAATTACGTTTTCGTAGTATTGTGTAAATATACTTAAATGCCACTAAAAATCATATGTTATCTTTCACCTGTATTGTTTATGTTATTTACTTGTTTTGGGCAAATTGTATTAAAACAGCTGTAAACATGGATCGCAAAATGAAATGAGCCTTTATTAAAGTGTAGTTAAACTTACTACAGTCTTAGTATACACGTATATACTTTGCAATTATGAGAAAAAGATTCGTTGAAAGATTGATAATAGTATCTACAAACTGATTATTATGTTGTACTCGTCTACGACAGGCCAACTATAGTAGTCTAATTAGCAAATATTTGTAACTGGTTAGGAAAGTCTCCTGAAATTCACCGAGTAAGTAAACCTAACTAACTATTTCGGTCAGTGCGGAGATATCAAAGTAATACTGCTTAGACCAGATAAATCGGTGGCTGGGTGCATTTGCAACGATTCAGCTCATATAGGAACGATGGCATACATTGAGTCACCTCACCTCACCTGACCATATGGTCCTCATTAACTAAATACTTAATCACCTCCAAACTGCTGGAACCTATGCGTCTACGCCGTGCTGTTGTCAACATGTACATCTATCTGTTTTGTAAACGTAAAACATCTACGACTTGTTGTGGCCTATCTGTTCAGTAAACATTTGCAACTTGTTGTGGCCTATCTGTTCAGTAAACATCTGCGACGTGTTGTAGTCTATCTGTTCAGTAAACATCTACGACTTGTTGTGGCCTATCTGTTCAGTAAACATCTACGACTTGTTGTGGCCTATCTGTTCAGTAAACATTTACGACTTGTTGTGGCCTATCTGTTCAGTAAACATCTAAGACTTGTTGTGGCATATCTGTTCAGTAAACATCTGCGACTTGTTACGGCCTATTTGTTCAGTAAACATGTTCGACTTGTTGTGGCCAATCTGGTCAAAAAACATCTAAGACTTGCTGTGGCCTATCTGTTCAGTAAACATCTACGACTTGTTATTGCCTATCTGTTCAGTAAACAGCTAAGACTTGTTGTGGCCTATCTGTTCAGTAAACATCTACGACTTGTTATTGCCTATCTGTTCAGTAAACATCTACGACTTGTTGTGGCCTATCTGTTCAGTAAACATTTACGACTTGTTGTGGCCTATCTGTTCAGTAAACATCTAAGACTTGTTGTGGCATATCTGTTCAGTAAACATCTGCGACTTGTTACGGCCTATTTGTTCAGTAAACATGTTCGACTTGTTGTGGCCAATCTGGTCAAAAAACATCTAAGACTTGCTGTGGCCTATCTGTTCAGTAAACATTTACGACTTGTTATTGCCTATCTGTTCAGTAAACAGCTAAGACTTGTTGTGGCCTATCAGTTCAGTAGACATCTACGACTTGTTGTGGCCTATCTGTTCAGTAAACATGTTCGACTTGTTGTGGCCAATCTGTTCAGTAAACATGTTCGACTTATTATTGCCTATCTGTTCAGTAAACATCTGCGATTTGTTGTGGCCTATTTGTTCAGTAAATATGTTCGACTTGTTGTGGCCAATCTATTCAGTAAACATCTACGACTTGTTATTGCCTATCTGTTCAGTAAACATCTGCGACGTGTTGTGGCATATCTGTTCAGTAAACATCTGCGACTTGTTACTGCCTATCTGTTCAGTAAACATCTGCGACTTGTTATTGCCTATCTGTTCAGTAAACATCTAAGACTTGTTGTGGCCTATCTGTTCAGTAAACAGCTAAGACTTTTTGTGGCCTATCTGTTCAGTAAACATCTAAGACTTGTTGTGGCCTATCTGTTCAGTAAACATCTACGACTTGTTATTGCCTATCTGTTCAGTAAACATCTAAGACTTCTTGTGGCCTATCTGTTCAGTAAACAGCTAAGACTTTTTGTGGCCTATCTGTTCAGTAAACATCTAAGACTTGTTGTGGCCTATCTATTCAGTAAACATCTAAGACTTGCTGTGGCCTATCTGTTCAGTAAACATTTAAGACTTGTTATTGCCTATCTGTTCAGTGAACAGCTAAGACTTGTTGTGGCCTATCTGTTCAGTAAACATCTACGACTTGTTATTGCCTATCTGTTCAGTAAACATCTGCGACGTGTTGTGGCCTTTCTGTTCAGTAAACATCTACGACTTGTTGTGGCCTATCTGTTCAGTAAACATCTGCGACTTGTTGTGGCCTATCTGTTCAGTAAACATCTGCGACTTGTTGTGGCCTATCTGTTCAGTAAACATCTACGACTTGTTATTGCCTATCTGTTCAGTAAACATCTGCGACGTGTTGTGGCCTTTCTGTTCAGTAAACATCTACGACTTGTTGTGGCCTATCTGTACAGTAAACATTTACGACTTGTTGTGGCCTATCTGTTCAGTAAACATCTTCGACTTGTTGTGGCATATCTGTTCAGTAAACATCTACGACTTGTTACGGCCTATTTGTTCAGTAAATATGTTCGACTTGTTGTGGCCAATCTGTTCAGTAAACATGTTCGACTTATTATTGTCTATCTGTTCAGTAAACATCTGCGATTTGTTGTGGCCTATTTGTTCAGTAAATATGTTCGACTTGTTGTGGCCAATCTATTCAGTAAACATCTACGACTTGTTATTGCCTATCTGTTCAGTAAACATCTGCGACGTGTTGTGGCATATCTGTTCAGTAAACATCTGCGACTTGTTATTGCCTATCTGTTCAGTAAACATCTAAGACCTCTTGTGGCCTATCTGTTCAGTAAACAGCTAAGACTTTTTGTGGCCTATCTGTTCAGTAAACATCTAAGACTTGTTGAGGCCTATCTGTTCA